TTGGAAGATTATTACCCGTAGTTAGGATGAATAAATTTGAAAAAAATTATCAGATCATAAAATATCTTAAGAATAAAAATAAAGTCAAGATTCACATGGATTTTACAATCAAATAGAAATTTAATGTGTTTTAAGTGCACTGTATACTCTTTAAAGATAGGCAAACCATAAGCAGAAATTTACGAAACCGCGCATTTTCATAAGTCTTAACTATAACTGCTTTATAAGTTTACGCCTATTCCATTAATATTATTTTTCGTTTTACGAAACAACATAGACAGCAGCTTATTATGGTTTTACTCAACTAGAATTTACTTAGGATTCGGCTCAAAACTTTTATTTCTTTCTTACGTAATACGATGTGAAAAATAAATCTGTTGCTTAAAATTGACCTGTGAGTATATTCCTATAGAAACTGAACTTATTTTTCCAATAACAAAATATACTTCGAGTATGTATGTTTCTCAAAATAAATTTAAAGGGTTCTGCCTAACTTTATTTGCCTTGTAACTTAATTGGCGACCAGCAAAAATATTTTAGTTGTTGAAATATTATTTTCAGAAACATATATTTAAAATCCAGATTGAATGTTTATTTGGGGCATGTATCGCTGGTGGGTTGCTGGTGGCAAAAACGCAGAACCATGTGTCCATGGCAACTGTTTTGACGGAATGTAAGCCCATCGACAGCACATTAGGGCACTCAGCGTCCAATTGATTTACAACAAAGGGGTAGCCTCGGATCGGAAAGCGCTTTGGGATGGGCCTGCAAAGCCAAGCACGGAGCACTGGCCACACAATTGTGGCCAAAAAGTGGCCCGCAACAAAATCACCACCCCCTTGCCATCATCCATCCCACCACTCAGCGGGCAAGTGGCGATGGAAATAATTCAAATATCGACAAACACTCGCAGCAGCGGAATCAAAACACCACAAATCGCGGCTCGTTCGCATCCCAAAGATACACAAAACTGCAGAGTGTGTTGGATATCCGTGGAGGGGCAGGCCATCAGGTGGGATCGCATCCGATGTTTGTTTGTTTGGTTCAAGCGTAAAATTGGTGGTGATAGCGAGAGTTGCCCTCTATGGCTGTGTCACCATCGGAAACCTTTATTTAAAATCATATAATATACAGTAAAAAACATACATATATAAATACGTAGGCAGCTTTACTATATATAGTATGTAAAATTGAACTTACACAAGAACTCCTCTTATAAGGTAGGAAGTCTTAACGTACATTTTTTGGCCAACAAAACTTAAAGTCTGTCTTATAACGAAAAATTATTACACTTTAGTGCAGAGTTTCTAATTCAGTAAGATTCATTTGCATATAAGGTTAAATAATAATAAGGCCAAATCAGACAAAATCTGCTATTAGACTGCGCTTCCAACTTAGTGTCTATACACATATATAATCTTGTTTAACATTTTTTTGTGAACATTTATACTTATTATGCAAACTTTTTCCTTATCTGTAGTCAGTTGAAATCTTCCATCTTGTAAAAATGTGCTTCTATCCATTTATTCGTTAGCGTTGACCTCCTGCGTTTGGCCAATAAATTGTGCATCGTAAAAATTATTATTTATAATGCCAAATTGTGCGGTATCTGGATCCATTAATTGGCGTTGCCTCTCCCTCCACATCCCTGCCGCCCACGAGGTAGGATATTTGCTTGGCCTATTGTCAGAGGCGATGACGATGGCGGTTTAGCTGAGACTTTCCATGCGCGAAATGTGCGAAAAAAATAAATTCTGTTGTTTTATTTATGTTTACAAACTGATTTATTCCACAGCTCCCCGGCTTCGTGCTCGTTACATGCCTCAAATTTATTTTGACAGAGACGGACAACACGGTGAATATTGCGTTTGTGTACATGTACATGTACCAGCACCCGTATCCGTTTCAAATCCGCTGGCATATCGGGAGTTTCTTGGCTTCGAATTGAGTTTTTCCGAGGAAAAGAATGTTCATCCAGCGGATCGAGCTAATGCGTTCTCAAATTGGCTAACAATAGATGCCGGCTAACTTCCATATTTATCTGTTGGCATCTACGGCCGCCAAAAATCGAGAATCGTAATCAACTTTCTTTTGCCGAAACTATAACAATGGAAAATGCTTTCCCCTTGGTTCAGCTGGCGACCTGCACTCCCTCCCTCGAGTGCCATTAAAAGAGTTAACCATCATAAAGTCAGCGGCAAGGAGAGTTCAGTGCCGGGTGCCAAGCCACACAACACAATGAACAATGAGCACATAAATCAGTGTAATTAATAGAAAACTAGCCAAAAGCTTGGCTAGCTCGGCTAGCCGATCCGTTCATCGATCCCCACGCATGAGTTGGCATTCGACCACGTGTGTGCCAGGTCCGATTTGGTCACTCCGAATTGGAATACCAAATTGCCAAATCCTCAGCCTCATTAGGAGTTTGGAGTTCGAGCAACCAGACCGAAGTACGCAACGAGGGTATCAATTTTGATGCCCCCTACTTCCTTCGAGTCTGTTTTGTTTAAGCATTTTTAGATGCCAGCGCCTTCTCATTATGCGTTCTCATTGGGTTTTCGCTCATTTATCTCACAGTTTGAGGCAAACGCATAAATCTTTCATCGGCCAACGCAATGCGATATTTCAGTTTCGAATTAAAGTAAATATTAAAAGGGGTGCTTTAAAAAATTCAATCTATTATCAATAATGAATATTTTTAGCACTGGACTTTGCCCGCTAGCATCAATCAACGGAGCCCCAGCCGCTGCGAATCCGAGGCCCACGAGGTCGTCTCCAAGGAACTAATTCATTCATTTGCCCAGCACCAAATCACTGGCCATTCATTTGCCAAATGTCCGGCTGGAGAACGGACCCCAAATGGATCAAAAACTCCGGAAAGGGGTGACCTGGAGTGGGAAAGTCGTAAAAAAGAGTCACCTGCAATAAGTCAGAGGCAAAACTCAAGCAGTTTGACGGCTGCCCGCTGCCTTGTCCTTCAAATTACAGCCTGATTAGACTCGTGGGACATCCGCCCAGTGCAAAACCATTCTCATCAGTTGTGGCTGACTGAGAGACACACTTGTGTGTGGAAGGGGTCGGCGGGCCCAGATTGATGAGCTCTGCGGCTTCCTCTAAATAGCACAACCTGAGAAGCGAAAGTGATAAATATATGGCTGGGCATATGTCCACAGTGATTTTACTTGAATGGAAATAGGGGAATATAAATGGTGGCAAATCGTGTAATGTTTTGGGGGGCGTTGCGACAGACATTCTCCCCGTATTTAGATGTAAATTAACATATTCGATCTATCAAAATTAAGAAGCACATTAATTAAATACAAACTTAAAAAAAAGTAGAATCTAAATAAGAACGTAAGAGAGATACATGTAAATATTAACATTTGAGAGTACATAAAATTCTTATTTTTTAACTTTTTGCTAGTAGTATTGCACATATATTTTCAACTATGGAACTTAAATATAACTAAATCCAAACCTATATACCAAATTTGTGTTGGGGTTACATACTGCTCAGTTGAGAAACATAAATTGCGGTTTGGCCAGCGATCATGCGACCGAAGTCTAAAACTTATTGACAAGGGCCAGGGCATAAATTATGGCCTCAGCAGAGCGTTAATCGCACATTTAACTCGCAGGAATTGGATTGCAACTCGGGTAGCTTAAACGTTTGGCAAATCGCTGACTGGGAGCAACAGCGACTGCGGAGTCGCAGAAGAGCAACAACTTTGTTCCAGCGATAACAATCGTGAATGCAGGAGCAGCAGGAGCAGTCCCATCGATCCCGATTCTCCAGAGAATCGGAGAGGGAGCGACCGGAGAACGCAGTGAGAGATGCAACGGGCCAGAACATAGTCAGCAACACAAATAATTCGCTTTAATGAGATCGCAATCTTGGCGATTTGCGACAAAAACACACGCGGTTTCATCTCCATAAACTCGGATACAGATGCAGATACAGATACAGGTTGTGTTGTGTGCTGTGCTGTGCGTGCGTGTGATCACTGCAGAGATGAAGATGAGCCAAAGTTGAGAATCTCGATCTCGATCGAGCCACAAATCCCCAATGACGATCATCGAGCCCAGCATCCAATCGGTGCAACAACATGGAACGATCACTGGCTACCAGTGCACACTGGAAATAAATATAATAACTTAAAAAAACCATAAACTACATTTCTTTCTTATCTCAGTGATTATTTTTGCAAAAGGGCACAAAGCACAAGTAGCAATTGTCGATATTTTTCGAAGTTTTTCTCAGTGCACTTCTTGTTACTGCTGCTGTTGCGCTCATGTTGGCTGTCAGCGCTCTTGACTTGTTGCCCCCAGACCTCCGCTCGCCCTTCTGGCTTTCTTATTCTCCGCTTGTGTGTAGCCCCGGCTTGTTGACATGCTCAGCATGCTTAGGCTTACAGCCAGTCCACCAATAAGAGCAACGGCAACAGTCAGAAAAGCGTCCCAGAGATGTCAATAAGTCGTGGAAGGGGTCTGGTCCTCCCTTTTGGCCAGATACGACGCGACCACGACATATATCCATGGAATTTCAATATTTTAATGTGGACCTTCAGTCCACTAGACTTACCCTAGCCACTGAGTTACCTCCCACAAATCCGCAGGCCTGCATCAGTTCAGAGCCGAAAGTTTTGCTCATCACGTGCCATGCCACGAACATTTTTTTTTGACAATTAATTGCTGCAATTAGTGCGACATGGCGCTGATTAAAAGAAAAGAGACCTCCAAAATGAAAGTTGGTCCTAACTGCCTGTCAGATGATGAATGTTCGAAAACCCAGGAAATTCTACAACATTTATAACACAAGTGAAAAAAGCGACGTGCTTAAATAAATCGTCGTTTAAAGTCAACTGAAAAAGAATAACATAGATTTAATAGTTCCATTCACATAGAATCTGAAAAAAAATATGGTTTTTGGAATACTGTCATTTTTTTGCATCATTATTAAAGATCAATTATTAAATCTGGAAAAAAATTTGGCTTTTGATATACTGTCATTCTAGTAGCATTTAAATTTAAAATTTTTTCGAAAACAAATGCTAAAATTATTGTTCAAATTATGTGCAAATAAGCGCAGCTTTCAAAACATAGAAAAGACTCTACTTTCGCAATCTTTCAATCACTTAACCATGTCACGACCCAAAGCTTCGGTTAATCTACCCACGGACCTGAGTCGCCCTTCAGTCGAGGAAGCGAATGCCAGGATTGTGTATCCAGAAGCACGGAAGGATAGTAAGGCCGAGGAAATTATACATGATTATAGGATTCGAGACGTTTATCGTTGGCTCGAAGACCCTGATTCCACAGAAACGCAAAGATTTGTGAATGCGCAAAACAATATAAGCCAACCGTTTCTCGAAAGATGCGAGGAATGGGAGAGTATAAATAGTAAACTGACGAAGCTGTGGAATTTCCCGAAGTATGGATGCCCCATGCGTCACGGAAGCTTCTATTATTATTTCAAGAACACGGGTCTGCAGAATCAGAGTGTTTTGATGCAGCAGGCGACTTTGGACAGCCCAGAGGTTGTATTCCTTGACGCTAATACTTTATCCACCGATGGAACCACTGCGCTGAGCCAGAAAACATTCTCCGAAGATGGCGCGTACATGGCTTATGGACTAAGTGAAAGTGGTTCGGATTGGAATAAAATACGCATACGTAGAGCCAAAGAGCGCACCGACTTTCCTGAGACCCTGGAGAAGGTGAAATTTTCAAATCTCTCCTGGACGAAGGATAGCAAGGGCTTCTTTTATGGTCGGTACTCCGATCAAGATGGCAAGACAGATGGATCGGAGACAAAGCAGAATGAAAACCAAAAACTCTATTACCACCGAGTAGGAGAAAGTCAAGATCAAGACACTTTGGTGGCAGAATTCCCCGAGCAACCGAAATGGCGGTTCCAAACCGATGTCTCCGACTGTGGAAAATTTCTGATATTATACATAAGTCATACGGTCCGGGATAATATGCTGTACTATGCTGACTTGAAGCCGGAGGAGGGAATCACTTCGAAACTAGAGATGAAGCCCATTGTTGATAAATTTGAGGCTGACTATGACTACATAACCAACGAGGGATCTCGAATGTACTTCCACACCAACAAAGATGCTCCCAACTACCGGGTGGTAGTGATTGACTTTAACAGCCCCGCCGAGGAAAACTGGACCACCCTGACACCCGAACATAAGAAGGATGTTCTAGAGTGGGCCAAGTGCGTCAATGACGACAAGCTTGTGGTATGCTATAGCCGCGATGTAAAGCACATCCTTCAGGCCTTAGATATGCATACCGGAAAACTTATTCGACAATTTGGCCTGGATATTGGCGCAATTAATGGGATTTCAGGGAAAAAGAAGTACTCAGAGATCTTCTATAGCTTCTCGTCGTTTCTAACGCCGGGCATTATTTTCCACTACGACTTTACAAAGCCCGTTGAGAAGCCAAAAGTACTGCGAGAAATAAGCCTCAATTTGGAAGGCTTCAACCGGGACAACTACAGTGTGGAACAGGTGTTCTACAAGAGCGCCGATGACACCGACATACCTATGTTTATCATTCAAAGGAAGAGGGATGCTGTGGAGCCCCGTCCCTGCCTGCTGTACGGATATGGCGGGTTCAACTACAGCCTTATGCCATCGTTCGGCATAACTGGTCTAATGTTTATGGATACGTTCGATGGCGTTTTGGCCTATCCCAATCTGAGAGGGGGCGGAGAATACGGTATAGAGTGGCACAATGGAGGCAGGCTGTTCAACAAGCAGAATTGTTTCAATGATTTCCAAGCCGCCGCTGAGTACCTGACCCAGAATAACTACACCACCAAGGATCGGCTGGCCATACAGGGCGCCTCGAACGGTGGACTTTTGGTGGGTGCCTGCATTAACCAGCGCCCGGATCTTTTCGGAGCTGCCATCGCCCAAGTTGGGGTTATGGATATGTTGCGATTCAACCGGTTTACCATCGGTCATGCCTGGTGCTCGGACTATGGAAACCCCAACGAGAGGGAACACTTCGCTAATCTCTTCAAATACTCGCCCCTGCACAATGTTCACATTCCGCTGAACCCAACTCAGGAGTATCCTTCGACCCTGATCCTGACAGCCGATCACGACGATCGTGTCAGTCCTTTGCACTCCCTCAAATTTGCTGCCGCTCTCCAGGAAGCCGTGCGATATTCGGAGTACCAACTGAATCCCATTCTACTGAGGGTCTATACGAAGGCTGGTCACGGAGCCGGAAAGCCAACTAAGATGCGTATTAACGAGGCCACTGACATAATCACGTTTCTCAGGAAGACGCTCAAGGTCGACTGTGTCAATCTATAAGCGAAGCACGTTATAATAATTTAAAAATGTATATCAAATTAGTCACTCGGATATGAGATGGAAATTTTCCATATTGTTATATGAAATTCCAGATATATATAATATACTTTAATACTTTTATTTTCATGGTGCGTAGTTCTCAAGAATATACTATTAAGTTATATAGAGTGCTTTCCAATAGTAATAGATCCTTAGTAAATTAATTAGTTCCAGTGGTAACTAAAACTCCTAATAATTTACTGAAATGCTCTAATTAACCCTTGACTTTTAAGACCCATATAGATTACGAAGTGTTTTTGTTGGAGGTCGCGAAGAGTCTTCACTCGACGTCGTAAATCAAATGTTTAATCAGTTGAATTTAATTAGAAAAAAGGCGCCCAAACATCGAGGCTGTCAAGGCGGAGAGGCTTCCATTCTGAGCACTTTCCGACTCCATAATCGCATGATAGTCGAACGATTAACGCTCAATACGGTCGCTGAGCATGCGATGAAGGGGGTATAGGACTAAAGGGGCGGTTGGACAGACAGAAGCTGCCAGAGGCGAACAGGCCGCCAGCTTCTGCCCACTGACATTGGGCCGAGAGCGTTTTGGTAGTTGTGTAATGTCTGCTGCCAACTTCAGGGTCCCAGCATGGGTCTGCAGATCCCCTTTCCTCGTCTCGGCCGCCGGGTATCGGGGCAACGCGATCGAAAATGGATTTGTATCAATATCGACTCACTAACATGATTCCAATAAATTAATATGCATACATGGCAGGCACACAGACATCGACTGTTGTCTGCCTTTCCACCGGGGTCTGAGTTGAAGTTGTAGTTGGAGTTGAAGTCGGAGTCTGGAGTCTGGAGATCTCGATCGACATCGCAACACGATGATGCATGTGCAGTGTCTCTGAGTTGTGATCGTGTTAATGTAAATAATTGCCAGCCAGTCGGACGAGGCCCAGTCGAATGGTCCCAAAGCTGTGGTGTGTGGTGTGTGGTGTATGGTAAATGTAATTAAAATCTCTCCGCTTCTCACTTTCTGCCTGCATTTTGTCCAGCTTGTTTCACGTTGGCCAAGGGAGATTCGTCTTGACTGATATGGCAGTGCGCGACATACACGCAAGGCTGTCTTCCTCTCTCGGCCTCTTTTTCCTCTTATTTCGGGGAGCTTGATGCTGATGCTGACAATTCACGAGTTCGACTTGGCATCTGGTGAAATTCGCCGAGGCTTGAGTGAAGAAATAAGCTCTGAAGCATTCCGATTCCGATTGGCAAGCCATCTAACTGGCTATGTTATTTGCATTAGGCCAAGTGGCAAACGTTTTTGGTGGCGGTTACTTTAATTGCAATCAGCGACACAAGTCCCAACAATTGACTATCGATTGGTTGCTTCTAAATGTGTTTGACTTCGGATGCAGATTGGTGCACGTGACCCAAACTAAAAAGAAAAAGAACAAGGGCCTTAGCTTTGGTTGCCTACTTCACTTACTCGTATGTCAAGATGGCCAGAAGGCTGCGAGACGAGGCCCTTGTATCGAAACATTCTACTGTCCCGGCTTATTTATGGCCTCAGATGCTAAAGATATAGCGCCAGACGAGGACGAAGACGAGAGACCGAATAACCAAGCCACTTTGCGTGGATTATTTTAAAACAGATATCGCCAAGCGATGGTGACGGCAGTTCACAGGAACAGTCACACAGTAAGAGCCACTGTACGAAAAAGCTCTTGCTTTTATTTAAATGCCAGAGATTCATTTTATTGGAGACGGCTAACGCAGTATTGTATGCTTAATGAAATTTTGTTTACTCGTTTGAAATAATATGGTCTAAACAAAAATGTACTTGTAAATTTAACATTTGCCAAATAAAGAAAGGGTAATATACAAAAAACAGAGAGTATAATAATTTAGCTAATAAGCAATACCTTAATTTAAACACCCCTAAAAAAATTTTTAATAAAGGCTGATTTTTTAAGAGCTCTCCTACTTTAAAAAGAAAAAAAAACACAGAAAATTCAGAAAAATTAATCAAAAGTTGATAGTATGGTCACTATAATTTAATGTTTAAAAATAATTTCATTTAAATGTGGACCGCGACTTCGCCTTAATTGCTCCATCCGCTTAGTCCAATTTTGGCATACTCTTGCCAACATTTTTGCCGGTATTGATAATTCACTGTCTTCTTGGACACTTCGCACATTACATGAACGTGTTGATGACTTAATGTCCAAAAGGGTAACTTTGGTGCGAAATTTCATCACAACACACCGTCTTTCGATTTAACTACAACATTTTTCCGAGTGCTCATCCGAGCGAAACTGAAACCGTAGCTGAAAGCTTCCATTTTCCATATCAATGCATTGTTGATTAGTCTCAGCGATGTTGCAGCAGGAATATTTGGGTTGCATTTCACCTTGTTGCAACAGAGTCACGCACATACTTCAGTTCCACGGCAACCCGCTTCCAATCCAATAGCCCAGCTGGGATCAGTAAAGTTGTCAATCAGAGTTACCGATCCGCAGACGTGGCCCCTTCAATCTTGTCCGTTTCGCCAAAGTCGCCATGTCATTATTTGTGGGAACCAATCCAGAGGAGAATTCTTGTGCCTCGTGGTCTGCGAAAAATCGAAAATCATTACTTGAAATACATGCTCAAGTAAAAGCGAGTCGCAGCAATCAATCAATCACGGCCACAAATCAAACATGTCAAACCGAACTCGACTCGATTCGAGTCTTGAGTGGCTGTGGAATCGAGATCAACTCGCACAATGGCGCACATATATGACAGATCATCGGCACACGGATCGATACATTGTCGATCCCATCGCCAAACACCTCTCGAGAAGGTTTCGCTGGCTTGGTTTCGTTTTTTCCTTTATTTATATTTTATTATATTCATTGGTTTCTTCGTTCATAGTGTGTCTCGAGTGCACGAATAGTTAAGTACACGAATAAAGGTTAATGAGCTTTTTTCTTCGATTTTCTTTGATTGTCGAAATGTGATAACATATTTCAATAGAAACCAAGTGTGTCAAAAGTATTTATAATATAAGTATATTTTGAGTAATTTAACCTGTTCTTTATCATTTTAATTAAATAAATAATTTTTAGTTTCCTGATAGAAAAATGTTTTTTTATGTTATAAAATATATTTCTAATACTATGGTATACAAATTATATTATAAATCTTATTATACTTTTTAAACAATATATCTTATTATATTATTTTTTCGAAAGTCATTTGAATTTAAATCAATAAAATAAAAATAATAAACGAAAAGAAAATAAGATCTTGTTATTTTTTCATGTTTTTTCATTCTTTGATTTATGGTAATGGGGATATATATTCAGACTTAAATTTTTAAGCTATATAGCTCCTATTTTACCAATCTATTTTTCAATTGATTTGAACATACTGCAATATATAGTAATCGTTTATTATTTCAGAATCACGGATTTTTTTTATTAATTATTATTTAGGTATAACACTCTAAATAAAGTTGAAATAAAGAATATTTGTATTTATATATAGACATCGGCTTGCTGAAGTTTGCTTCATTTTTTGTTTAATTTAATTTTTTGTCATCAGAATCTTAATTATTGTCTTATTATAAACATCTTCTAACTACAAAATATATTCAGTGTTTAAAAAATCAGAGGAAATTCGAATACTTAGTTATTTTTATTTTTATTTTATTTTTGATTTTAATATAGAATTGAAAATTTCAATGATGGTTTTCCCACTGCAACGCAATCACGTAACGACCGGACCAAATAGAAGATGGTCTTTCACACCTATGCGGTCTCTCAATATTTTCATTACCCCTTTACTTACGCATCCCACCCCGCTGATCCTGCGGTCTACTGATCTTCTCGTGGTGCGCTCCCATGTTTGTGTTCTGCAATTAAATTCGTATTCTCTTACAATTGAGGCGCTCAAGTGGAATTTCCACGAATATCATGGATATGGATATGCTGACAAGCAGATTGAGACACAGATGCCGATGCTGGAGTTGGAGTTGAGGTTGAGGTGAAGGCGATTCCAGGGCAGCTGCAATCTTGGCCGAGACTGTGCTCTGCGGTTCTAGGCCCGTTTGTTGTTATAGGCCCTGGTACTTGGACCAGTGCGTGTGTTTATACTGCTGTTGGAGTTTTTCCCTCTGAAATTATCAATGGGGGAGGCTGCGGGGTCTCAAGCACCGTGCATATCAAAATAATCAAATTTTTGATTGAGTGCAGTTAGTGCGTCTGTGTTTACACATTGTAGATGACGATGATCGAGAGATCGATTCGACTCGTATTCATTGCCCCGAGGAGCTCGGTTGCGTTTTCGTTTCGTTTTCGGTTTTGTGTCCAATCATGTTGTTGATATTGATAATGACATTGATGGCATCGAGTTGTCCTGAGCGACTATGGGGCTACACTGGGAAAATAAAGATTATTTTCAAAGTATAGTTTTCTTCTTGTCACCCAAATTGTTAACACTCTGGTCGAGAGTCTTTTCTTAATAGTTTTTTAGTAAATCTCTTGCAAAAAGGATTTTGCTAAGTGTTCCTTATATTTAAAAATACAAAATTCGGTTGCCAAACTACTTTTTTATTTTTGTACAGTAATGAAAAAACTCTCAGCTAAAATTTATTTGCTAAGAAAAAAATGTCAAAGAGATAAATCCAATATCATACCATATTTAAACTCTGTACACCAAAATATATGAGAAAAGTATACGTAAATTTAGGTACATTTTTGGTTTAACCACACAGCAAATGCACAGCATTTTTCTCTGTGTGGGTAAGGCTTTACGTCTTGAACTCGATCAAAATCTTGAATTCCATCTCGAGTGCGAATGCATTCGATTGTTGTTTGCGCGGATTTTGGATTTCGAACTTCTCCATGATGCCTGATGGCTGTCAATCCGGTGAAATCCGGCAGAGTTCGATGGAATCCAGCCAGCCCTCTTGCGATCCCAAGTTGAACGATGATATTGACATTATCGAGACACTTAAAAATTTGTCTGCAGCCCGCACAATTTTCATGTAACCGATAAATGCGCAAGTGCCAATGCGTAATGACATCTTCAAGATACTTGTGCTGTATTGTTGATGTTTTCTCATCATTAGACATACGATACACT